AGAGAGAGGGAGAGAGAGGGAGAGGGAGAGATAGAGAGAGAGAGAGGTTTTCACATTCAATGCCATGCAGCTCAAACCTACATACGACTCTTTCCAAAAAACTAAACAAGTACCCTTGTAGGTAGCCTAGTATCCCTCTCGACAACTCTTATCTTGAACCTGTGTTCTGATTTATGGTCAAGCAGCAAAGCGATAATTACACTATCGCTAACGTCTCTACTGAGTTACAGATTCAGAAATAAACTTCACTTTAACCTTTAGCACTGAAGTAGCCGTTTGCCTACCGATTCTGTATTCCGTAAATAATTTCATCAGGTTGGTAAACGACTGAATAGCAAAGTTCTTTTTATCACAACCATTTATTTTTCAAAACTATGTAACACCTTTAGTGCACTATGCACCAAGTAACATCTAGTGTCAGTGCACAGTAAACCAGTCAGAATTGCCCTGATGAAGATGACAGAAGGTCATCGAAACGTCGGCTTGAAAAATAAATGGTTGTGATAAAAAGAACTTTGCTATTCGATTCTGTATTGGTTTAATACGAGGGTTAGGCAGCAGGGAGAAGGTTACAAAAATATAGCACTAGCTTCCACCAAAGAAACACCGCTCACGCTGGACCGATATAGAAATGATGTAAGATTGTTCGTGGATGAATGAATAGACCCTACATCACAATGACTATGTTGGATCAGCTATTTGGAGCGTGTTTAACTTGTCAAGTTTGTGTGTGTTTGCTTCAGTGCATACATCACTCTTGTATCAACTGACTTTACACACAATGGATAAGGCCACACCAAGTAAATTTTATGAATTACGTCCTTTGGAGACCCTAAATCTAATGCGAGAGGGCAAAAAAAAACAAGAAGGGCCCTAAAAAACAAGATGCCTAGATTAGAAATATACGAAGAGACGACAAATGTTAGGACACAAATTGAATGAGGTGACACAGTGTAACAAACAAGAAGTCTTTTATTCATCATCAAAACAGCAATAAATCAGGTGGAACAGCAGTTGTCGTCCTGTGCTGTTTCTTTTCTTTAATCACGTCTTCCCTTATCCCACTGTTGTGACTCTTTTGTCATAGTTACAGGAAGCGGAATTTCTTGTTTTTTTTCTAGGAACAGGCCAAAATCAATGCGCGCGCGGACGTCATCCATAAAATTTACTTGGTGTGGCCTAAGACCTCGTGCAAACGTGGTGAAAATGAGACCATTGTCAGAACGTTCTATCATCCATCATAGAACTGGCACTGGCACCAAAAGCGCTCTTCAAAGCCTGATTGTTTCCCCACAAATACATCAATAGTAGATTTTTAATCCTAGTGTCAGTCAACTGTTTGACTTACCAGGTGGGGCAAACTCAATTACATTGCCGTACCGACTCCCACTCGGGTTGCCATGCCAACCACCTCTGTTGCTGGTAGCCATGCCGACCCCTGCTGCCCGTTGCCATGCCGACGCCTTTTTCCCGTTGCCATGCCAACCCATGTGGCCTGTTACCACGCTGACCCCAGTTATACCGGCCATGCCTATCCCCGCGTTTGGTATTCTATTTCTACTACTAGTGTACTAAGGCCACAGCAAGTAAATTTTATGGATGACATCAGCGCGCGCATTAATTTTCGCCTGATTTTGAAAAAAAAAGCAAGAAATTTTGTTGCCTTCTGACAGTGGTCAACATGGGCAAAGATGTCTGTTGCCATGCCGGAAGGTGGATGGCAGATAACTATGAAGAGAGGAGACAAGAAAAGACTGATTTAATGTTTTGCTTCTTACTTTGATGCAGTGATATGTGATGCTGGCTGTGTATATGTGATGTTCCCACTGAATCAAAACCATTTGTACAATGATTGAGTCAAATCATTTAAATGTAGGAACCTTGTTTTTTTCGGCCCGCCTTGTTTTTTTTCGCCCGCTCGCATTACATTTGGAGCATGCGGGGGATGTCATCCATAAAATTTACTTGATGTGGCCTAATCTAACATTAATACATGTATATATTTTATAATGGACTGTTACATTTCACATTGCTGTGACAAAGTTTCTCTTTTGTATAGCATTATGTACATATTGGCCTAGAAAAACAGATACAGAGTCGGGGCATGATAACAGCATGTTGAAAATTTCTCTACTTGTTCCAGGTAGTGTTATTTTATTCTTACATGATATCATTAGTTTTTTTTTTTGTTTTCTTCGTTGTAGTAGGGACATATCATTACAAAATGGTACTCATCTTCAATATATAGTTGAGGACTCGGTTTCTCTGAACACGTGACCTCCCGCGCTAGTGACGTGAGTAGTAACGAGTCACGGGTCACAGGTGGTTGTGGAAGTCGGTATCGCCCCCCGTCCCGGCTGTTCAATGAAGATTGAACACCTTGAACACGTTAACGATTAAGAGTAGGCATACATCCGGCCGTTCTGCTAAGTTCTAATCTCCAAGCAGATCCTTCTCGGTGGCAAAAAGACAGTATCAAATTGGCCAGGCAGTATCCATTAGCCAGAGAAGGTCCGCGGCAAAAAACAAAAACAACGGCCATATATAAAAAGCTAACGATCATTCCCCCACAACCGCTGCTTGGAGAGTACGTACAAAGAATGTCACCCGGCTTTTATAGAGTATATATACTACAGAACTAGTACACCTGCAATAGTTTTGTACTGCCGCAATTCCTTAGATCGTGATTTATGACGTCTCACTCTTTCTTGGCTCCGGTTCGTAAACATCCCCCTGGCAGTGTTGGCACAACAGTACAGTCGGCATGTCGAACAACGTACAGACTAAACAAGTTAAAAACAGGAACATCCACAGACATGACAGACAAACGGTTCCCATGATTTTAACCCTGTAAGTGCCAAGGACCAATTGTAGCACTAAATTTTGACATGAGGAAAATCACAGAAGCATCTATGAGGTTAAGTTTTAGTTAAGTTTCATGCCTTCAAATATAAGAGTTATCAACCAAGAATTGAGGTGTTCAAAAACTCGTATTTCCCCAGAACTATCGTAGACTGGAACTCGTTGCCACCAAGCACAGTTGGAGCATCATCACTAGAAAGCTTTAAACAACTCCTGCAATGAAATGTGCAAAGATTAAGTGTAATAAGTCGTTAGGTGTGATACAGCTAGCTGCCGCCGCGCCGCGTGCTTGCGAAGCTGGTGTGTTACGCCGGAGGCCGGTTATACCGGCTATACTGACACAGATACAGAAGTTTCAGTTAAAATTCGAACGTTTGAATCGTAAATCAGAAGACGTTGGAAGTTACCATGCATTTTGTAGGGGCTGTTTGGGAAGTGACGTCAGCTCATGTTTGGGATATTTGGAAGACAGTTCTTTGTTTCCTGTGTTTAGATTGCCTCACAGGAGTTGGACACGAAGGGGCTTCAGGTCTGTTTGACGTCCGTGCGTCAGGGTGTGATGGAACGTGCTGACACCTGCGGACGTCACGACGTTTGTCTGTACCTCTCACCTGGTCAACACGCCCCCCTCCCCCGTCACAATCCCACCTTTGTGGGTCCGTATTAGCGCCCTGTCCGCTCTTTGTGTGGAGTTTATTAAAACGTCGAGTCGATTGTCACAACCTGCTAAACGGTCCTCCCTGGTTCAATATTACCGGTCTATTTGCAGGCAAACGGGCGTGAAGTGGTCAAACAAGGCGGTAATTTGTTAGGTTTGTGTTCCGGTGCTACGGTGACCCCCTTGGTCTGCTGGCCTTCGTCCGTAGCCCCGCCTCGCCCGGTGTTTAATTGGTATATGTGTGGTGTGTGTGTGTGTGGACTAACGGAACACAAACACCGTCATCCGTGTGGAGACCTGTGTTTGCCGCTGTTTATTGATCCGCATGGCGTCGGGCGGGACGGTTGGCGCTGCTGGCCGGGGTCGTGTGCACAGCTGCCCGGGGTAAGCTCTACAGTCGTACGGTGGGATTTAACGAGCCGTGTTTATCCCCCCCTCCCCCATACACCCTAATCATGAGTGACTTAAAGAGAGTGTCTCAGGTCCTTGAGAGCCGAGCGGACCGGAGCCCGCAGCCTGGCTTACCAGGCATCCAAAAGCGGGAGTCTACCGGGTCTTCACGGGCGGTCAGCTTCAGCCTCGGTCCGCCGGGCTCGCGCAGAGGCACCCAGACCAGTCTGCGATCCAGACTACGTTCGTATGACGAGTCCCGCGTCAACTTGGACCTATCAACCCGCATCACGAGCCACGGGCTCAGGAAACATTCACAAGAACCGGTCCGAGCGACCGGAGGCGGCGCGACGAAGAAGTACTCTGTGCCGGCGTCCTACAGAAGATTCACCGCCCCGAGTCAACCGAAGTCCCGCTTACCCTCCACCTCCATAGGCCTGCTCCAGCGGTACGGGCACTACGATCTCTCAGACTATGTGGGCATGCTGCGGTACCTAAGGATCAACAGCGCCAAGAGGAGGAAGTTCTTAAAGAAACACCGTCTTCCCTCTGCCACGGAGTTCTACCCGGAGGGGGAGGTTCCTCCGGAGGAGTCTTATGAATCGGAGGAGGAAGGAGAAGGAGTACATTTTCAGGTGGAAGACGTCAGAGTCAAGAAACAGCAAGTCAGGAAAAGAAACAGACAAAAGGTACGATAATCTAGTCGGTAGTTACAAGAAGGTACGAAAATGGCAAACGAGTATAAATACTACAAGCTAAACATATAGGCAACACAGAGAGTGTATACGTTACGTTGTTTCGAAAATCTTTAGGTATTTATAAAGTCTATCAAGTAAATTTCACAGTTACAATACCTAGTGTTTTCATGTTGGTCAAACAGGGTCATTCTAACCAGTGATTGTCCTTCTTAGTAGTGCTTATCTAGTTCAGTGCCCATAGAAGCAAGAAACATTCGACGACGTATTTCTTATCTCACTGCATTTTCTCTTTCAACTATACACAATCCTTACACAACATAGATCCTTATGTAACATATGTAAACATCTAGTTCTTCAACACTACATTTTACCATTAGTGCGGCGTTATCTAGTGATAAAGGCACATAGAAAATAACCTACAGGAAGTATTTGATGTCAGGTGTTTTCCCACCGCCTGCATGTTGGAAATGTGGTTTTTGATTAGAGTCTAATCGTGCATCCAAGAGGAAAGAATCCAACGGCAGTCAACCGTGAAATCAGCATCCACAGAAGCCAGTTCCGGCAAAACTGTGGAAATGGGGGGACTGTTCCTTCAAGTATTTCTTGCAAAATTGGGTCCTGGTCACATTCCACAATACGATAGGTTTACGATATGACAGCATTCTTGGTACTGTCTTGGATGTGTCGTGCGACTAAAATTCAGTTATCTTGTGATGGTATGGTTCTTGTAGCATGGTCGTTTTTTTTTCGTAGCATCGTAGCACACAATACACTGAGAATCGTACAACAAATATGACAGTGTCTTTAGTACAGCTACAGACAGCTGCAAATAGAACACGACAAAACTATAGAGAAACTTTGATAAGAAGTTTGGGTTCAACTACACTTCTACCGGAATTAGTAGGTTGTCAATAGGGTATAATACATGCCATAGGTTGTGTAAGGGTATGAGTTGTACTCAATCTGGTGTGCTACACCGAAGGGCTGTCATACCCTCTATACAGATACAGAATCTAGGACACCATTTTATAGTAGATGTGAGCTGTTTTTATAGTACGTTACAGTTGAGGTGAGGTGTTGTACCGGTGTTGTGCGGTGTGGGGTGGGGTGTTGTACCTATGTGGGGTGGGTTGTTTGTTCTGTTTGCTGACCTGTATGTGTTTTCTCCATTCGGAGGGATTTGCGCGTGTTTAACCATGTCATCACGGCCCCACGATCACTCCGCTGGGGCATTAAATTAAACCCCGAATCTGCGCGGGAACTTTCTTTTGCATGCTCCAAATATCGTCTGCATCTGAGGAGATTTGGACTAGTCCAAAACATAAGCAATTCAAGATTCAAGATTTTTTTTATTTTTATTTTTTTAAATTTTTTTCAAACTTTATTATTATTAGTATTCACAATGTTACATTAAAAAGAGATAAGATTCAAGATTCAAGATATCTTTATTGAGCTTTCGCAGTCACTGAATTGCAGTCAATCTACAGTATTCACACTGACATATAATATTGCACATAATTTTGATTCGATCATTTAACAAAACTTGAAATAATTACAAAGAAATGTAGTACCGCTCGCACTACTACAATTGGTTAGTTACAACATTGAAAAACTGATAAGTAGAAAGGAACAGGAAAAAAATTGGAGTTTTGGGGCAGGCAAAAGTTGTGCCGGGCGCAAGGTTGTTTCCAGGGCATACACGGGCCAGCTCGGCGGCTCCAGGTCCAACATGCCCCCGAGGAAATTTTGCTACAGCCCCCCTGAGTTAGACCTTCAGCAACGTGTGATTCATTGTCTACCTGATGGAGGGAGGGGGGGGGGGTACTGAGTCAAAGGCCCCATTCCCACTAGGATAAAATTGTCCGGATCGAGCCGAATCGATTCGCTTTGATCCGGCTCGATCCGGCTCCGGACCTAGTGGGAAATGGCCAAAATATCCTTGGAGCTACATGTAGGTTGGCCCTAGGGGTAACATCCGTGTCCATAATATCACCAGGGTCCATAATATCGCCACCTTGAGAAAAAGTGTGCTTAAAGATATTTTTACTGCAACATACCCTACGGTATGTACATTTGAGGTGTGCAGGAGTGCATACCAAAAGTATGTTGCAGTAAAAATATCTTAAAGCACACTATTTCTCAAGGTGGCGATATTATGGACCCTGGTGATATTATGAACACGGATGTTACATGGGTATACTGCTCAATATACTTTACAGCAAATATTTCAGAAAACAATAGTACCAATATATTACACTGAATGTCACCAAAGAGGTTATATATATCTTATACAACCTCCTTGGTGCCACCACGTTCATGGTATCACCATGATAGATTAAATATTTGCAGTGAATTGCTCTTTCTTTCAAAAGGTTCTGTACAATCCAGAATTTGGGTACGTCCATTTTCTTGCATTAAAAATTACAGTTCGAACTTGCTTGATGTTGAGATAGACTCTTATCAAATGTACAGGAAACGGACTATTAGGAACAGGAAATTAGACTCTTATCAAGTGTACATAGAACAGGACGGATCTAGTACAGTATATACTACTGTATTCACATAGCCATGGCATATGTCCAACAACTTTCACGGTCGATGTTCGGGAGAACTTGCACTTCTTGTTCCGCCGCTCACAACCTTTCAGCGTGCCACTAGGTTCTCTTCCAGTTCTCATCAATACACCGTTAACATACCTGTCTCCAAGTCATTTTACAACAACAGCTTCTTTCCCCGGACTGCAAAATTATGGAACTCTCTTCCAAACAGCTGCTTTCCGTCCGATTACAATCCACAAAGCTTCAAAACAAAGGTCCACCGCCATCTCCTGACATAACTACATTATACTCACTTAAGCACATCTAGCTCTATGCCTAGAAGTGGCCAAAAATAATTGGCCTTGCATTGAGCGACACCGTAAAAAAAAAAAAAACAATAACCCAACAAATATCTCACCTGTATGAGACAGGTGTTCTCAACAGTTTTTATATTACCTGATCAGGTCAACGTTAGGTCAGCCCTGATACTTTAATCCAGGTTACTCACTACGTTGTCCCGGTAACGGCCTCTTAATCCCACTAATCCGACTTCTGACACTATTAAACCCTCCATAAGTCACCTTGCTGGTCTGTGGATTATAAAAGATCGATGTGGTCGATCCCGTAGACTTTGTTGTGGCGTTAGCTGTTCAAATACCTGTACATGAACGTACAAAAAGGGCTACAATTTGTCTTCAACAACAAAAAAAACAACAAAAACATGTTGAACTAAAAAGATAACATTTGCAAAGAAAATGCATAATGTTTACCTTCGCATATGGTCTGCTCTGTTAATTCCTACTAAAATATTCATATATATGGTCAGACAGGAGTCTAAATCCCTCCTGCTATAAAATTGCAACATGATGTAACCCAACACTAGTTACCGTGGTGACAGACGTCTGGTTCAGGTCATTGACCTTTTTTTTGTTTGGAGAAGAAGAAGAGGAAGAAACTGAGCCAAAACAATATGTTTTCCTTCGGTAAACATATTGAAAAGTTCATGTTCGATGCAATGTTTATGCACGGTCTGTACTTTTGTCATATCTATAATGATTCATCGATACGAATTATACATTTTAAGAGCCAAACTAATATAGACATTGTTATATTAATCTACAAGAAAGCAACACTCCCGGAGTGGTTTAATAATACAGATTCTTTATTGACACGACAAAAAAGTACAGAGACTTTTGTATGGTCTTCTACAACTTAACGAAAGATCTAACAAAGCTACATACATGTGTGGATAACGTCATCTTACGTACAGAGTATATGTATGATGTAACAATAAAGGTTAACTATTCTCTAACATGTGTTAATGACATTATGATACATGTATGTGGATACAGCTGGCAGTGCGAGATGTTAAAAATAGATTTTTACCGTTTATCCAAAGTCACACTGACAGGGTAGAGGCAAGGCTGGGGTCAGGTCACGTTGTACAGCTGACAGGACTCCCAGAGTTGCTAACGATACAGTCACATGTCTTAGGCTTTGAGCGTTTTTATATAAGGCCACACCAAGTAAATTTTATGGATGACGTCCACGCGCGCATTGATTTTGGCCTGTTCCTAGAAAAAAAAAAGAAATTACGCTTCCTGTAACTATGACCAAAGAGTGACGGCAGTGCCGCAATTTTATGCTTTGTTTCTGCAGGCCTGCAAAAATGTGATGAAAGAAACAGGACAGGACGACAACTGCTGTTCCACCTGATTTATTGCTGTTTTGATGATGAATAAAAGACTTCTTGCTTGTTAATCTGTGTCACCTCATTCAATTTGTGTCCTGAAATTTGTCGTCTCTTAGTATATTTCTAATCTAGGCATCTTGTTTTTAGGGCCCTTCTTTTTTTTCGCCCTCTCGCATTAGATTTAGGGTCTCCAAAGGACGTCATCCATAAAATCTACTTGGTGTGGCCTAACGTCATAAGTACACCAACATGGAGATGGACAGTTATTTCCATTTCGCTGAATCGTTGCTCATACTTTTTCAAACATCTAGAGACTTCTGACAAATTTAATTTTAAAGTAACCTCTGTTTGCTGCACATAGCTTCACCAAAGAGAATACCAGAAGTATACATTTTAACTTGGCGATTTAACACAAAAATGTTGGTGTAGTTTGAGCTACTATCAGTTGAAATGCAAATCAAGGACACCAACATGGCGGCCAGCATCTGTCCGCTCCATTGACACGGGAAGCGCTTGAAAACGCTCTGTAAAGACTAGACCTGCGTTTCTTCCATCACCCTCCCACCACCAGCTATTTCTAAAAAGAGACGGAAGACGCCACAAACTATCTAGCCCTTATGACTAACCGCTCAAGTCACTTATTTTCAATTTACATCAAATGACGTATATAAAATGACATCAAATGTAGTATTTTTTAAAATTTTTTATTGCATTTCAATAAAAGATACACAACACATACAGAAAAACAAAAGGATAAAGTT